CCGGGGGGGCCGGCCCCGGCGCCCGGGGCTCACGGCCCCAGCCGCTCTGCGGCATGTGGGATCTTCCCGGGCCGGGGCACGACCCCGCGTCCCCTGCATCGGCAGGCGGACTCTCAACCACTGCGCCACCAGGGAAGCCCAACACCATTGTTTTTTTAACAGCACCTTTCCTCCAGAGCTCAGAGTGCTTCTCCTAATAGAAGTTCAGTGCTTCTCACCATTCCGGTCTCTGAACATAATGCAGTACGTGGTGGTGTCACTAGTCCCCAGGAAAATCGAGGGTCAGAGTAATAAAGAGATTTCATGGAAGCCATGGTGAAGAATGGGCTCCCAGGCAGTGACAGACGTTAGCCCCACAGACTGAACTTAAAGTGTGGGTGTCCATCTTCTCATCCAACTCTCTGCCCAGTGGGATGTACAGGGGATTGAAATATAAGATAAGCAGAGACAGTAGCTTCACGGCTTTAACCAACGTGAGAAGATAAATTTTGAGGTACCATCCTTTCCTCTGTCTAACCCAAGGCTGCCCCTTATAGGAGGGCTCCCACCCCAGCCCACCCCTGCCACACACCTGTCCCCGACAATCCATGGATGCTAACTGCAGCCTGAAGGGCTGACCCCTTACAGCACCCCATACACCTCCACCTCCATTTGGTTCTGAGTCTCTTCAGCTGTTTCATTGCCCTTGTTCTAAACTCCTGGCTAGGTACTCACACCTCCATTCCTATTCTGTCCTGGTTTGGGTATTATTTCCGGTCCCCCAGGCGCCCGGGTCCTGGTGGCCCAGTGTAACCTGAAGGGATGCCTTCAGTCTTGACATCTCCCAGTAGATGAAGACTGCTGGATCTAATCCCCAGTCCTATAAACCCCTTTCTACCACAGCTTGCAGTCCTGCTACCCTGTATCCCTCCCTACTTCCCAGCACCCACACCCGTGCTGCAGGACAAAGCAGTAAATTACTAACTCTCAGTCATCAGGCTCTGTCAGTTTCCCTTAAGTGATCTACCCCCTCACTGATGGAACTCTCCAGAGCAGACCCTCCCAAAGAGAGAAGGCTACTGCAATGTAGAAACCTACTTAACTTATGGAAACTTTGACCCTGGGAAACATTAGTAAAATGTTTTATTCAATTTACCAGCTAGAAAGAATGTGTCTGTGTCTAGTTTATTAGGATCTGGAGAAGAGAAATGCTACATCCAACTCAGAATTGGAAAGATGCTTGGAGGGTGGGGCCTTTCAGTGCATCTTGCATTTCTCCCCACCCTCACCTCCACCTTTGGAGGGGAGGCCACTCTGCTCCATTGGTCTTCTTGGCACGTCCCCAACTCACCCACTCATGACCCAGCTGTAGGTCCTTGGGTCCATCTTGCTGGCAAGGAACAAAGCATGACCCCACAAATGGTTCTTCATGGCCCACTCCAAGGCTTCCTGAAAACACAGACATCACCTTCAGTACCACCTTGCTCACCTGCCTCTAAGAGCGACAGCAAACGACTGTGCTTGGGGACTGCCCCCCACCACCCCCGAGCAGCAGAGGCCGGGCTTCTTGGAAGGCTCTCAGAGCCTCCCCTGCGAACGTGAGAAAGGAATGGTAGAGAAATGGCTTTAACTGGCAGGTACTTCTCTCCAGCCTTCACTTTATCAAACCCCTTATGTGATTGCATTAGCTCCCCCTCAGACATAGTTTCCAGTTAGCTTTATTTCTTTAGCCAAAGTCACACAATACTTTTATGAACCTAAGCACTGAAAAATAAGGGAAGCATCTCACCCCCAGCACTGGGTCTCAAAAGACGAGTTGCGAGATGGTGTTCATGGGGGTGGGGCAGAGGAACCATTTCTTTCTTTCTTTTAATTAGTTTTTATTGGAGTATGGTTACTTTACAATGTTCTGTTAGCCTCCACTGCACAACCAGATGAATAAGCCATACACATAAAGATACCCCCTCTTGAGGAATCATTTCTTTTTTTTTTTTTTTTTTTTTTTTTTTTGCGGTACGTGGGCCTCACTATTGTGGCCTCTCCCGTTGCGGAGCACAGGCTCCGGACGCACAGGCTCAGCGGCCATGGCTCAAGGGCCTAGCCGCTCCGCGGCATGTGGGATCTTCCCGGACCGGGGCATGAATCCGTGTCCCCTGCATCGGCAGGTGGACTCTTAACCACTGCGCCACCAGGGAAGCCCCAAGGAACCATTTCTTTATTAACAACTGTGGCAGAGACTGCTAGCTCCTCACCCAAATCCAAGTTCCCCTTCCTAGGCCAAGAGCCGGACTGCATTTCCCACCTCCCTGGCACTGAGGTGTGGCACTGAGATGGGAAGGGAAGCGATGTGTGAAGCTTCCAGGTCTGGCCCATAGAACCCCTCCCCGTGCTCAACCCTCCATGGCCTCTTCCCCATCCGGCTGGAACGAAGATGACTCCCGGAAACTTTAGAGACTCTGCATTGAAGATGGTGGAGCCTCCTACAGCTGAGTCCCTGGGTGAGTACATGGAGGAGGGCTGCCCCATCTTCTGTTCACCTGCCCAGTACTCTCGCATGAAAAGAAATAGGCTGCTATTATGGTTTGGTGGCGGCGGGGGGAGGGTTGTTGGTTTGATTGTTTGTTTTTGGCTGCACCACACGGCATGCAGGATCTTAGTTCCCTGACCAGGGATCAAACCCATGCCCCCTGCTTTGGAAGCGTGGAGTCCTAACCACTGGACCGCCAGGGGAATCCCGAGGCTGCTGTTATGTTTAAGCCAGTATACATAATAGTTAACCTACCCCCAGCTAATACTATAACTAACTGCTTACTATCAAGTGCTTGTTAACTATCAACTTCATACGTCAAATTAATGACACCGTTAACTTGGTGACATGGGTTTGAAGCTGCAAATTTTAAAACATACACACACACATATTCACCTCTTCATTTAATTTTCAAACCTATTTAGTAAGAGCTTAGTTTATATGTGAGGTTGGCCTGGTATTAATAATTTCCTTAGTGCCCCCCAAATAATGTGATTTTTGGACAGGAGGTCACTAATGAGGTATTTCCACCTCCAAATGAAAACTTATTTGATTATCTCCCATGTTATCTTCTTTGAAGAGAGAATAAATTTAAACAATCACAGTTAAGAAATTCAGCCTCATATCCAGTGGAAGTAAAAATGACATTAAGATTGCTCTTTTTGAAACGACAAGGTCCTACTGTATAGCACAGAGGACTATATTCCATATTCTGTGATAAACCATAATGGAAAAGAATATTTAGAATAAGAACGTATATATATGTATAACTGAATCACTTTGCTGTACAGCAGAAATTAACGTAACACTGTAAATCAACTATACTTAAATTTTTAAAAAACAGGTGAAATCTTTAAAAAAATGCTATTTTTGTATGTTAAACTATTTCATAATAGTATTTTTAAAAGGAGTTACTAATGATTGGTTGAGAATTACTAGTTTACTCAAAAATCTGCATCTCCAAAAATATAATTTAAGAATAAGTGAAGAAATTGAGAACTTATATCAAAGATGTCAATCTCACACAATGCCAGAAATAAGACCCCAGTCAAGTGTTAAAGGTTTTAAAGATATTGTGGTGTCCAGCTCCTCATAGATCACCGTGAACTCCCATAGTGCTCTACCTACCCACCGCTTACCTTTGGGTCAGTGTATGACAGGAGATGTGGTGGGTGATTACAAACCCAAGCTCAGGCACCAGGCTGCCTAAATCTAAACCCTGGCTTTATTATTTACTAACTTTCCTCCTTGGTAAATACATAAAACAAGAATAGGACCCACTACGAAGATAAATGAGATAATGCATGTAAGGTGTTAAGTGAGTACCTGGCACTTAGAAAGTATTTTTCAAATATTCGCTTTATTGCTGTTGTTATGGTCATTATTTATCATTCTTAAGGAAAGAGATTATCACTGATTTATTTCTGTATCCCCCGACTGGGTTCAATGTCTTAGAAGTAGTGGCTGCTTCAAAGAGGGAAGAGATATGGGAACATATATATATGTATAACTGACTCACTCTGTTATAAAGCAGAAACTAACACACCATTGTAAAGCAATTATACCCCAATAAAGATGTTAAAAAAAATAAAAAAAAAAAAAAAAAAAAAAAAAGAAGTAGTGGCTGCTTAATAAATGTTTATTGAATAAATGAATCACTGGTGAAATAGCAAGTCCCTACTATATAATGAATACACACACACACACACACACACACACACACACACACACACATATACATACATATAGATGCTATAAGTTGATCCCATTAATTTTCACTGAGTATATCTTGCACTCATTTAAAAGATAACATCACATACAAATACATACACACAATTAAAGATTTAAATGTAAAGGTGAAGTCACAAAAATACTTCAACTTTATTTTCATAAATCAATTTTGAACCAGGAAAAACCTTTCTAAATATGACCCTAAAAAAGTGATTTTGGACAGAAAATCCTAAAAAAGTAAAGCGCTCCTACAAATCAATAAGTGGGGATCAAAAATCCAACAGGAAAATGTGGAAAATCCATGACAAAAAATAATCACAGATTAAAGGATATTCAACTTCATTTATAATGAGAAATGCAAATAACTACTATACATTTTTTCACCTCTCAGATTGGCACATATCCAAAAGCTTGGAAACACACTGGGCTGGTGACCGTGTGGGGAGACAGGCACTCTCATACATTGCTGGTAATTGGTACAACCTCTAAAAGAGTAATCGGTACAACCTCTAAAAGAGCAATTTGTCGATATCTATCAAAATTACAAACCAAATACCCTTTGACCCAAAGCTTCCACTTCCACAAACTTTCCTTACATATATTCTCTCCACAGAGCAAAATGACAATGTTATTCATTGCAGCATTATTTGTAACAGCAAAAGACTAGAAATAATTTAAATGTCAATCTATAGAGGTTTAGTTGAATCAATTATAATTTATCTATAGAAACTTATGCAGCCATAAGAAATAATGAGGAAGGTATTTATATACTATAAGGAACAGGAGACAGCAAAACGTGGCCTGAAGACCAAATTCAGCCCACTTCCTGTTTTGGTACAGCCCACAAGCTAAGAATAGTCTTTACATTTTCAAATTATTGGAAAAAATCAAAAGAAGAATAATGTTTCATCACATGAAAGTGATATATATTTCAAATTTCTCTGTCGATAAATGAAGTTTTATTGAAACACAGCCACACCCATTTATTTACAGATTGTCTGTGGCTGCTTTCAGGGGACAACAGCACAGTTGAGTAGAGACCCCATGGCCTGCAAAGCCTAAAATATTTACTGTCTGTCCCTTTACAGAAAAAAATTGCCAACCCCAACATAGATTGTTTCCTAAAATATTTTGCTAAATGACAAAAGGAAGGTAAAGAAATGGTACATAGTATGCTATAAGGGAAAAAAGGAGAAAATAATTATATATGCAGAAAATATCTCTGGATATTTCAATGAGAGAAATTGCATGGCTGGGAGGGGGTGGGGGATAGCATCATTTCTCCCATTATATCCCTTTCATCTTTTGATTTTTTAATTAGATTGATTCAAATTGATTTCAGTCATATATTCAAATATTTAAGACTTTTGTAAAATGTAAGTTCAACTTCAAAATTAAACAAGGCATAAAATAATAGGGAAACACGTGAGGTGATGGATGTGTTAATTATCTAAATGGGAGGAATCCTTTCACAACATATATGTATATCAAACCATCACACTGTACACTTTAAATATCTTACAATTTTGTCAAATATACCTCAATTTAAAATTTTTAATTAATAAATTCTAATTTACATACCAAAAAATAAACAAGGCATTACTTCATCAGTGGAATTAAAAGTATTCAGTATTGATAGGTATATTTTAGATATAACTGATGGGGATATCATTGGTAAACAAACTTTCTGGAAACTGATTTAGTGTATATGTGAAGAACCTTTTAAAAGTGCATAGCCTTGGGACTTCCCTGGTGGCACAGTGGTTAAGAACCCGCCTGCCAATGCAGGGGACATGAGTTCGAGCCCCAGCCCGGGAAGATCCCACATGCCGTGGAGCAACTAAGCCCGGGCGCAACAACTACTGCGCCCACGCTCTAGAGCCTGCGAGCCACAACTACTGAAGCCTGTATGCCTAGAGCCACAACTACTGAAGCCCATGAGCCTAGAGCCCGTGCTCCGCAACAAGAGAAGCCACCGCAATGAGAAGCCCGCGCACCACAACAAAGAGTAGCCCCCGCTCGCCACAACTAGAGAAAGCCCGCACGCAGCAACAAAGACCCAACGCAGCCAGAAGTAAATAAAATTAAAAAAAAAAAAAAAGGTGCATAGCCTTTAACTGAGTAGTTCTACCTCTAGGAATATATCTTAAAAAATCAGCCAAAGGTTTATACAACAAGATGTTCGAATGGTATAATTTATAATGGGTGACAAATCTGTACATAGCCTATATATTCAACAACAGTGAATTGGTTAAATAAAATGTGATACATTCATCTAATAGAATATAGTCCATATTTTAAATGGTACATTTTAATGCTATGAGAGTATTTCACCATATACTCTTAAGCGGAAAAGAAAGAAGTAATTGTATATGTAATTTAATTTGATTTTTAATATATACACATTGAAAATACTAGAAGTAAATATATCAAAATGTTAACAGGCATTATCTTTTAGTGATAGGATTATGGGTGTTCTTCTTTTTCTTTGTACCTTTCCGAACTTAAGTGCTATAAAATGAGTATATGTCACTCATACAATTGGGAGGGGTGAGTGGTTGGGGATGCCGGTTACTTTTTTAAGCAGAAGCGGGCACAGCACTTGCCTTTTTCCTTCCATAGTAGAGCAACTTAGTGAATTTCTCCACGATCTGCGCAGGCGTCTCCACGCTGGGGGGAACCTCCCCAGTGAGCAGGTTCCGGGTCCCCAAGCTCAGTACTGGCCAGTCCTCATCCGTCAAGTTGATGAGGTTGGCCACAGGCGGCTGCTGCTTGTATTTCTCCAGCTTCTTGCAGTCCTGCACCAGCAGCTCCGCGATGTCAGACCCCACCACAGACTGCAAGGGAAA